CAAAGCAGCTGAAAGAGTAATTAAAGTGTTGTTAAAGCATAAGTTTTGTTTTTCTTTTTTACCTTAACACATTCTCTGCATTAACCTAGAAGAAAAACTTCCATGATCATCTCAACTCCCCCATCCCCCACCCCTAAATACTTACCATAGTCCTTTCTTGATGCAGCACTGTGCCCGAGAGCAACGGCACTGCTCTCTCTCTCGGGCTCCTCACAGGTCTCAAAAGGCATCAGCAGGAGCCATTGGCCCTCATTCATTTTTAATATCCAAACTCCCCCAATCCATGTCTCCATGCTTTATTCTATTGAGAAATCGTTTTGAAAAACATCCCTTCTAGCATTTGTAGCCGTGGCCATTCTGGGTAAGGGCAGAGGATTCATATAGCATTTACTTATTGGAATCCACCTACCCTTAGCTCAGGCATGCATGCGGGGGGGGGGGGTGCTTAGCTGGAAAAGCCCCTCCTCCCCTACTTTAGATGGAAGGAAAAAAAAAAAATGCCCATGAAGACTCCTGGGATGGATTACATCATTTTAGCCTAGGCCAGAAACCAGGAAGCAACTGAAGAAATGTAAAAAAAAAAAAAAAAAAAAGTTTACAAGTAAATGTAATCTACCTTCCTATATATTTACTAATACTAACAGCCTAAGGGTTACAAAGAGTCAATGTTGGTTGGAAGTCTAGCAGTATATCCATGTCTTCATATAAAGTCTCCCGAAGCATGCTCAGTCTGTACACATAGTAATAGGCTGCTCATCGGTCCCCCTTCATGGAGGAACCCGCATTGTATAGAGACTGACTCAGGTGTAGTAGGAACCTGGCCTCCTATTGATTTGTTCTGCTCCTTTAGTAAAGTCATTGGAGCGAGGGGAATATTAAAGCAATTCTGACAGATGTTTCAAAATGCCTGCAGCTGTTAATTAATGAGGGGCACTACTGGAAGGATTCACTTTAATGTGCAGTGCCTTTTATGACAGGATCACACTTATTGCAGACATCCAGATGCTTGAAGCGTGTAATCAACGTTTTTTTTATTTATTTATTTTTTTTACACTTTCTATGACTTCTAACTCAAATTCAGCCTTTCCAAAAATTAATTAATTAAATACCAAAATTAAAAATGTCACCTTTGTCATAAATACTTAAGTTCCATCTAGCAGAAAACATTGGATGTGTGACCGCATACGTCTTCAGGGTATGGGGACACTAAACTGTTGCATATGATTAGATTCAATTATTTCAAGCGAATCTGCATTTTTGGTTAAAGCTTTGAACCCCTCTCTGCGATTGCATAACAGGCACCTACATGCAGGGGCATAGATACAAGACACCAATTTAAAGTGCTTAGAAACCTCAGACATGACATATGCACAAAGTATACCCCTCTATAGCACGTGTCAAATGCAAGGCCCGCAGGCCAATTTTGGCCCCCCATGTCATTTAATGTGGCCCTTGAACCTCTCCTGAAGCTGCATTTGGAAGTAGAGAAGAGGACAGAACTCCTCTTACAGATCCTACTCTTCTGTCTGCAGCCACAGGAGTGTGACACCCCTGCTCAATCCAGAATCCTTTTTTCCTGACAGGTCAGACAAGCTTTATAAATTCAGCACTTTCAACAGATGTAGAAAAGAGAATACTGCAGATAAACCGGTACAACTTCTGTAGGAGGATTTGTCCCATCTCTGTAACACCTGAGGCTAGTCACTTTCACTGGGTATATGCTGCAGCTGCAGCACCCCCCTCATCTTTGCCCCCCAACAGAGTCATCTTTGCCTCCTTCAGACCCTGCACTGCTCAGCAGTCCCAGCAGCAGGGGGGTGCAGAGAAGGGAGGGTGGGGGACAGAACTCTCTCCTCTGATGTAAGCAGATTCCTACTCTTCTGTCTGGGCAACCACAGGAGAAATGGATTTGACACCCATGCTGCTTGTCTCAATCCAGAATCCTTTTTTTTCCTGACAGGTCAGACAAGCTTTATAAATTCACACTTTCAACAGATGTAGAAAAGAGAATACTGCAGATAAACCGGTACAACAACTTCTGTAGGAGGATTTGTCCCATCTCTGTATCACCTGAGGCTAGTCACTTCACTGGGTATATGCTGCAGCTGCAGCAACCCCTCATCTTTGCCCCCATGCTCAGCAGTCGGCAGCAGAGAAGAGGACAGTCAGCAGAAAGAGGACAGAACACTTACAGATCCTGCTCCTCTCTCTGCAGCCACAGCACCCCCTTATCTCCACCTCCCCTGGTCTCAAGCATTCAACAGAGTCCTACAGCTGACTCCAGCCTCCTCTGGTCCTCCTCCAGACCCTGCACTTTCTGCTTCTTCTTCCCCCAGCTTCTTTCCAGCAGCAAGGGGTGCACTGTGATGTAAGGAAGGGTGGGGGACTCTAGGCTTCTGGTGGTGGGGTGCTCTTGACCTCTGATGTAAGGGGGTGGCATTCTGTGGACTACTCTCACAGATACAACCAGCCCCCTGAGGGCAACCATAATGTCTGCGATGAAATGGATTTTGACACCCCTGCTCTATAGTGTGTACTTGTCTCAATCCAGAATCCTTTTTTTCCTGACAGCTCAGGCAAGCTTATAAATTCAGCACTTTCAACAGATGTAGAAAAGAGAATACCGCAGATAAACCGGTACAACTTCTGTAGGAGGATTTGTCCCATCTCTGTATCACCTGAGGCTAGTCACTTCACTGGGTATATGCTGCAGCTGCAGCAACCCCCCTCATCTTTGCCCCCATGCTCAGCAGTCGGCAGCAGAGAAGAGGACAGAACTCCTCTTACAGATCCTGCTCCTCTCTCTGCAGCCGCAGCACCCCCTCATCTCCACCTCCCCTGGTCTCAGCATTCAACAGAGTCCGACAGCTGACTCCAGCCCTCCTCTGGTCCTCCTCCAGACCCTGCACTTTCTGCTTCCCAGCTCTTCCCCCAGCTTCTTTCCAGCAGCAAGGGGGTGCACTGTGATGTAAGGGAGGGTGGGGGACTCTAGGCTTCTGGTGGTGGGGTGCTCTTGACCTCTGATGTAAGCGGGTGGCATTCTGTGGACTACTCTCACAGATACAACCAGCCCCCTGACAGAAAGATCACCTTATCAGTGTCCTGCTTCTTTTTTTACTGACTGGGGAGCAGACCTGTAATTAAAAGTAAAAATTAAGCAAATATTAATAGAGTCTCCTTCCCTGACAGACGGGAATGTACTGTTTGGCAGTGCTGTGTAAATCTCAGGTCTGGATGGACAAAAATATGAATACGTTGGCAGGCAAAACAGCTTCCAATACAGTTAGGTCCATATATATTTGAACACAGGAACAATTTTATCTTTTCCAGTATTTACCAAAACATATTTAATCTATAGTTATATAATGGATATGGGCTGCAAGAGCACACTCTCAGGTATAATTTGAGGGTATGTACATCCAAATTGGAGGAAGGGTTTAGGAATGACAGCTCTTAAGAGCAGCCACCCCCCCCCCCCTTTTTTTTTCAAGGGACGAAAAGTAATTGGACAATTGAATATAATCATAAATAAAATGTTCATTTGTAATATTTTGTTGAGAATCCTTTACTGGCAATGACTGCCTGACGTCTGGAACCCATGGACATTACCAAAGACTGGGTTTCCTCCTCTCTGATGCTTTGCCAGACTCTAACTGCAGCTGCCTTCAGTTGTTCTTTGTTTGTGGGTCTTTCTGCCTTTAGTTTTGCCTTCAGCAAATTAAATACATGCTCAATTGGGTTGAGATCAGGTGATTACTCGGCCATTGCAGAATATTCCACTTCTTTTCCTTCAAAAGCTCCTGGGTTGCTTTTGCAGTGTGTTTTGGATCATTGTCCATCTGTCACCTGCTGTAATTTCTTATTGCCACTAGATGCTCCGGGTTAAATGACACACAGAAGAATATCCTGTGACTGTAGGGTGTCATGGACCCGCCTCCTTGAGGGACTTCGCCACAGTGCTCTGCCCTTTCATAGTGTAATGGTACAGGGAGCGGCTGCATCAATGAGTACCGCCTGACACTGAAGAGGAAGCGGACCTGCATGTCACACAGCCTGGATATTGAAGAAAATAGCAAGTATAAAAAAAATTATTTTTAAAAATAATACATGCTGGGATGGAAGGGGGTGGGGGGAATTTGACTTGCTGGGGTGGAGTTTGGCTTTAAGCATTACTGGCAAAAATATGATTATTAGCTAAAGGGAAAAGAGAATTCAAAACTGAAAATTGAGACAAAAGCTAGAAATAATGGAAGTGTCGCACATCATTTACTCTCAGCAGTTCCATCTGTCTTCTACCCAGTTTTATATGATGGCTGCTCTTTCTGTTACACTTAACTGGTGCATGGCCTACCCTTCCAGCACAGCTAGAAGTAATAAATGACACACATTTTTAGCATCATGTTTATTAAACTAAAGAAGAATTCGGGAACATATCCAGGCCTCCATTTAAAGTGTTACTAAACCCAAAACAGTAAAATCAGTCTGTAGATGCAGTAAAACATGCTTGTTATACTCACTGTGGAACCTAAGGGGTTAATCCTCTGCACTGTGTAAAAAGAACAGTCGATTCTGACTTCTCTGATCCTCCCCTTCTTTCAGTGCCCCCTCTTATCACCTAAGACATATCGTGTGGAGTCACTCATCACATGCTCCATCTAGTGTGTATTGCTAGAGTTTTTTTTTTTTCTTGGGAGACTGCATATGATCAGCACAGGGCCAATCTGGACAATGCTGTCCAGACAGAGGGTCAGGGGTCCTGCAGCCTCATAGGACAATCAGGGGAGAATGAAAATTCCTCCTACAAGCTTTAACCAGTGCTCTGCTGGACACTGATAGAAGTCACAAGACTGCTCCAACTGCTAATGAGAAAAGGTATTTAGCAGTTTATATTTACTAAAATAATTGCATTTCCATATTCTCTGTACTGTGGGAGACCAGATATAGTGAATGCGGGGTCCGGGGAGACCAGGTATAGTGAATGCAGGGTCCGGGGAGACCAGGTATAGTGAATGCAGGGTACGGGGAGACCAGATATAGTGAATGCAGGGTCCGGGGAGACCAGGTATAGTGAATGCAGGGTCCTGGGAGACCAGATATAGTGAATGCAGGGTCCGGGGAGACCAGATATAGAGAATGCAAGGTCTGGGAGACCAGATATGGTGAATGCAGGGTCCGGGGAGACCGGATATAGTGAATGCAGGGTCCTGGGAGACCAGATATAGTGAATGCAGGGTCCTGGGAGACCTGATATAGTGAATGCAGGGTCCTGGGAGACCTGATATAGTGAATGCCTGGTCCTGGGAGACCAGATATAGTGAATGCAGGGTCCGGGGAGACCGGATATAGTGAATGCAGGGTCCTGGGAGACCAGATATAGTGAATGCAGGGTCCTGGGAGACCTGATATAGTGAATGCAGGGTCCTGGGAGACCTGATATAGTGAATGCCTGGTCCTGGGAGACCAGATATAGTGAATGCAGGGTCCAGAGAGACCGGATATAGTAAATGGAGGGTCCTGGGAGACCAGATATAGTGAATGCAGGGTCCGGGGAGACCAGATATAGAGAATGCAGGGTCCGGGAGACCAGATATGGTGAATGCAGGGTCTGGGGAGACCGGATATAATGAATGCAGGGTCCGGGGAGACCAGATATAGTAAATGCAGGGTCCGGGGAGACCGGATATAGTGAATGGAGGGTCCGGGGAGACCAGATATAGAGAATGCAGGGTCCGGGGAGACCAGATATAGAGAATGCAGGGTCCTGGCAGACCAGATATAGTGAATGCAGGGTCCAGGGAGACCGGATATAGTGAATGCAGGGTCCGGAGAGAGCGGATATAGGGAATGCAGGGTCCGGGGAGACCAGATATAGAGAATGCAGGGTCCTGGGAGACCAGATATAGTAAATGCAGGGTCCTGGGAGACCAGATATAGTGAATGCAGGGTCCGGGGAGACCAGATATAGTGAATGCAGGGTCCTGGGAGACCAGATATAGTGAATGCAAGGTCCAGGGAGACCAGATATAGTGAATGCAGGGTCCTGGGAGACCAGATATAGTGAATGCAGGGTCCTGGGAGACCTGATATAGTGAATGCAGGGTCCGGGGTTTAGTAATACTTTAATCTCATTCCCCAACCTCGACCCTCACTCTTTAGCCCTTTACTTTTTATAAGCTTTCCTTGCAGCTGGTGCCACACATAATGTTTCTTCTAGAGGGAATAACTGAATCAGTCACGTGCCATTTTTTATCCTATCTAACACATACTGACTCGCATTGACGGAGACATAGGGGTGTATTTATTAAGAGAAAATAGACCGTGCACTTTGTAAGTGCAGTTGCTCCAGAGCTTCGTAAATGAGATGAAGCTTCACTGTACAAAGAATACCCAATCATGTGCAAGAAAAATGTAAAAAATCAGTATTTTTGCTTGCACATGATTGGATGATGGAAGTCAGCAGAGCGTACCCTCCTTTACTAAGCTCCGGAGCAACTGCACTTGCAAAATGCAGTCTGCCACCCCTAAATATACATTTTTTTTTTCTACCTAAGTCACACTAAGGCTCCATGTACACTGCAGCTGATAAACACATGTTTAGCAGATTTGCTGCGTTTTTTTCAGCAGCTCCTGAACTCTCCCTAATGTTTTCCTATGTGTCCATGTACACATCGTCATTTACAGTCATTTACAGGCAGTTGAGTTTACAGTCTTTTTTTGAACGCAACAAACTTGCGTTCAGGAGTAGATTTTATCAGTGTTTCAAAGGCCAAATGCTTGTAAATGCGCCTTACTGAGTTTATAAGTGCATGGACATTTTTTTTAACTCTTCCATTTCCAGATGCTGTCCAGAGCCTTTTTTCATCATGAAAAATGCATGCAAAGCGTTTTCCCGGTACTCAAATGGACCTGGTACACCATACTTTGAGGTTTTGCATGAAAGAAAATATGTTAGACGCTGCTGCAATAATTTCTGCACAGAAATGAGCTGGAACACATCCAAACACACCACAAAAAAAGACAGCTAATCTCAACACATACTGCTCTCTCTGCTTCTGCTCTCTCTATTTCTCTCATAATGTCTGAAATGGTTAATTTTTTTACTGTTTTTCAGTGCATTCTGAGCATTTTGGAAGGTCTCTGAGGTTATCTTTAAAAAACGCTTCTAAACGCAAACGCTCATAAATGCGGCTAAACAGACGTTTTTTAACTTACATTTTCCAGCAGTCGGTTTCTATCGTTCAGAAGTGTTTTCCAAACGTCCTGTGTACATGGGGCCTTACACTGACACAAACCTGATAAATCTCCGATCTGACAATTTCACTTTTTTTTTTGTTTATCCCAGGCTTATATGTAGGCCTGTTGCAGAGAGGAGTAAAGGTTGGTTCACACCAGGTACAGATCAGTGCTTCTTCGCTGCATCAAAAACGCATGCAAAGTGTTTTCCATATAATCCAATGGCCCTAGTTCACACCAGTGTACTCAGTTCCAGTGCAGAAAACAAAAAAAAAAGGAAAACGTGCTGCTTTTTTTTTGAACAGAACTGTACTGGAACCCAGCAAAACAAATCATTGTACTGTCCTGACATTTTTGGGCCTCAAGAAATGAGATCAGTACATCAGGATTGATCATTTGTCAAATATATATCCCTTAGTTTGTAGACTCTATAACTTTTACACAGATTAAATAATATACATCGATTTAGCTGGTATTTACAAAAGAAATGTAGCTGAATGCATTTTGTCCTAAATTTGTGAAGAAAGATTACTTATTTGCTAAATTTTATAACAGAAACAAAGAAAAACCTGTTATTTTTTTTCAAAATGTTTTTTCGTTTATATAATAAAACCCCCTGCGGTGATTAAGTACAGCTAAAAGAAAGCTCTATTTGTATTTAACCCCTTCACACCGTCCGCACGCAAATGTCTGGGCCTAGATGCCGAGCGGCCGCACATTTGTGTTCATGTAGCAAAAAACATATGTGCTGAGAGCACGCGCCCTGCGTGCTCCCAGCACACATGTGAGGTACTCACGGAAAGGTCCCGGTCCGCTCAGGACCTTTCCCGATCATGTGTTCCAGCCATGACGTGATGACAGTGATGACACTAAGCCACGCCCCATCCCGCCCACCTCCTGACGCAGGAACTCTTCTCCACGCCGGGACGATCCGGCTGGGCAGGAAGGGGGTGAAAGTGTCCGGTACTGAAGTAGTTAAATTGCAATTTAAGGCCATGACATTCATTTTTTTTTGGGGGGGGGGGGATTGAAAAAAAGCAATTTGGTACTTAAAATGACTCAGATCGACCTTTCAACACACAACAAGCACCTCTGTTGCTCAGATTACAGGAGTGGCGTCCCTAGGCAGGTGTGGGGAGTGTGAACCGCACCGGGTGACACCTACCGCATGGGGTGACACCGGACCCGCTCCACGAAAAGGTACATTTTAAAGCAAGCTGACGTTTCCCACAGGATGGATCCATTATGCTCCCCAATCCGCAGATCCGATCCATCTTGCGGGGATCGTCGGCTTGCTTTAAAACGTACCTTTTTGTGGAGAGATCAGTTAACCCTGTGTAGGCTTGCAAGCCCATGACCCCCGCAAGATGGATCGGATCTGCGGATTGGGGAGCATAATGGATCGGAGTCCGAGCCATTATGCTCAATCTGCAGATTATTATTATACAGGATTTATATAGCGCCAACAGTTTGCTCAGCGCTTTACAATATAATGGGAGACAACACAGCAACAATACAGTTCAATACAAGAGGGTTAGGAGGGAGTTTACAATCTAGGAGGGAGGAGCTAGTGGTACAAAAGGTAGTAACTGTGGGGGATGAACCGCTTTATTAGTCCTCATGCACACTATACATTTTTACATCGGCTGTTTTGGGCTGTTGATGTTTTTTGATGATTTTTTCTACAGCCAGTAAACCCCCCAGCATGGTATGCTATGTGTCTATGCATACACAGACTGTAATCAATGTTTTTTTGGCTGGAAAAAAAAAGAGGACTAGTGGGTTTCTAGAAGAGTTTTTTTAGCTGTAAAAATGCTCTAACACTGAAAAATGTGTCAAAACGCGGTAAACTGTCGCAACCCAGGGTTTTTGGACTTTGTTTGAGTTGTAAAAAAAACCGCTGAAAAATGCCCACACGGAAAAACGCCACTAACCACTAATGCAAAAACATTTAAAAAAAACTGAAAAACTCATGTTTCCTCACAGGTGGTGCTCTTCGTGGGTCAATACCCCACTTGTGGTCATCCCATGGTGGCACTCTCTCCTCTCCTTATAACTCTCCTCCAGCCACTGACATCAGCAACACTTAATATCCTCCATGCAGGACCCCAGTGATGAAACAAAGAACATCCTCCATAGTATAATACCGTTTTTAATGAAGCCAAACAAATACTGGTAAAAAAATGCCCGCTCACATGTATGTAGATCAATATTCGCCTTTACACCACACTATGGGTGTACTACATGGGTATAGGGTGCACCAAGATGGCGCCCACGCCGGAAGTGACGTCACCGCGTACCGGAAGTTCCTGCCCGCATACCTACGCGTTACGTCACACTAAATCATGTGACTTCTTCACGTGATTTAGCGTGACGTAACGTGTAAGTACGCAAAATTCGACCGATTTTTAAACCTAAGAATATTCGGCGTCGGCCGATTTTTTCTCTGTTAGTGGGTCAATGGCACTGGCCGATTTTCGTGGTTCCTCCCCTTTTCGGTGATCAAGCATGATGGAAAATTCGTGAAAAACTACCGATTTTCGACTCAATGATGGTCAAATCATACGATCATTTTCCCCAAAAGAATATGCGCATGAGCCGTGACCTGGAAGGAACGGAAGTTTCGCCTGTTATATGGGGTAAACATTATGACTTGGTTGGCCAATTTTCAAAATCATTGATGGCGCCATCGGATTACCGAACGAACGAACAACAGCTTTGATTTTCGGACGAAAAATCATTCACAACGAACCATATTAGGCCTGCATTACTTTTTTGGACAACACAACATTTGGGATTTTCTTAAACTTTCACTGATAATGGTAAACAGGACAAATAGAGAGGGTGAGTTTCCCTACGGGGGGCACAAACAGCAATACAAACTGACAGGGGTTCTAATACCTTTCCATTTTCTCCAAAACTATAAAAAAAAAAGGTTTTCCCTTTAGGTATACTTCAATGTTCTTTGATTATTACTATGCATGCGCGGTCGGATGTAGTATTGTGAGCAGCACAGTGGCTAAATGGTTAGCATTTCCAACCTGGCAGTACTTGGGTCGCTGGTTCAAATCCCACCACGGCACCACCTGCCTGGAGTTTGCATGTTCTCCCTGTGCCTGCGTGGGTTTCCCCTGGGTACTCCGGTTTCCTCCCCCACACTCCAAAGACATGCTGGTAGGTTAACCTCCTTAGCGGTATTCCTGAGTGTAGCTCGGTGTAAAATTTCTATACCAAGAGCGGTAACCCCGAGCTACACTTGGGCTTACCCTGCGGCGCTGCTCTGGGGGTCCCTGCAGCACTTACCTTGTCCTTTGCTCCCGTGATGTGTCCCCTGCAGCGTCCCCAGCCATCTTCTCCGGCCGATGCCAGCATCCGGCTTCCGTGTTCCGATCCCTGTGACGTCGGGACGTACGGGAAATTTGAAATTTTTTAAAAATGTCATTTTTGCTGTCATTGCTGTTTCAATGCATTTCATGTATATTTTGTCCCTACTGCTTTGTCCTGTGCCCTGCCTGCATTTTGAATGTTCTTTCTGCCTGGAAACTTAGAAAAGTCCATGGCGCCCAAAAAGCATCCCTTTAGGTCAAAAGCTGTTTTAGAACAGCGATAGAAAATCAGAACCATTTGCCGAATTGATTGATAATGATTCGT